TTTGATTGCATTATCACATTTCCATAGAAAGAGATTATGCAACCCCGAAATATTTCTGATGTGATGAAAATTCGATTTGGAGAGATGGAAAACCGACCAGTTTTTTACGCATTCAACTTTTAGCTGAAACATTAATTAAATTCGATATATAATAGCAAAACGGCTAAATATACCCAATCTGACATACAAAGCGAAGCGATGGAAGCATTAACAGAACTGGTAACTGGTAACTGGTAACTGGTAACTGGTAACTGGTAACTGGTAACTGGTAACTGGTAACTGGTAACTGGTAACTGGTAACTGGTAACTGGTAACTGGTAACTGGTAACTGGTAACTGGTAACTGGCAACTGGCAACTGGCAACTGGCAACTGGCAACTGGCAACTGGCAACTGGCAACTGGCAACTGGCAACTGGCAACTGGCAACTGGGACTGGTAACTGGTAACTGGTAACTGGTAACTGGCAACTGGCAACTGGCAACTGGCAACTGGCAACTGGCAACTGGCAACTGGCAACTGGTAACTGGTAACTGGTAACTGGTAACTGGTAACTGGTAACTGGTAACTGGTAACTGGTAACTGGTAACTGGTAACTGGTAACTGGTAACTGGTAACTGGTAACTGGTAACTGGTAACTGGTAACTGGTAACTGGTAACTGGTAACTGGTAACTGGTAACTGGTAACTGGTAACTGGTAACTGGTAACTGGTAACTGGTAACTGGTAACTGGTAACTGGTAACTGGTTACTGGTTACTGGTTACTGGTTACTGGTAACTGGTTACTGGTAACTGGTAACTGGTAACTGGTAACTGGTAACTGGTAACTGGTAACTGGTAACTGGTAACTGGTAACTGGTAACTGGTAACTGGTAACTGGTAACTGGTAACTGTGAATATACAATGAATAAACAATGAATAAACAATGAATAAACAATGAATAAACAATGAATAAACAATGAATAAACAATGAATAAACAATGAATAAACAATGAATAAACAATGAATAAACAATGAATAAACAATGAATAAACAATGAAGATATGGTGAATTGACAGGCTGAGCGCCGTCCAACAACACATAAGTTGATTTTGCACATCCCATTTGTAAGTGTAACGGTTCGACCTGGCATCGACTTAAATATTTTCACAAGCTTGAAGCTGATCCGACCTTTATAATTTAGGCTAAATCAGCCCAGCCGAGAGTGGAATACAAAATGAAACAACGGGTTACGAGTATCATCCGTAAATTTACGTCAAACAAATGTTTTAATCACTATATAACTGATAACAAATCATGATCTCTGCAGTGACCACTAAAAATAAAATAGGAACTAAAATGTGAAAATACCGAGTATGAAGCTACATTTACATTTATAAAGATCTCGTGAAACATTATAACAGAAATGGTAGGGCCCAAATAGCAAATAGAGTCGTTGATCATAAAAGGAATTTCCACTAATAGCGGCATTAACAATTAAGTAAGGAGCTCTGACCTCTGTTTTGGAATTTGGCAAGATGATCGGAATAATCTGGTTGTAGTCGTGTTGAACTATGAAGCATCGCTCCTACTAAATCGCTCGCCCAAATTTAAAGAAAATTCTTGTGAAAAGGCCTTTTGGATATGAAATTGATCTGAGTAGGTGTATTTTTGGACGCTGATTTCGAATCACCCCCCATGACGCTAGTTGTAGCAAAACATGAATTCGATTGTTTAGAGTCCGGGTTAGGGTTAGGGTTGTGGTAAGGGTTATGGATAGCTTCGGGGTTATGGTTAGGCCTAAAGTTAGGGTTAGGATTAGGTTAACAGGTGATACTCGTAAAATATCTGTTCCATATATTGAACCGTCGACGAGTCCAACTCGGCGCGCGTCCTGGTAGGTTGTAAACCTACAATATATGGAACAGATATTTTACGAGTATCACCCGTTAATAAATTTTTGGCAGAACAAACGGAAGCTACTCAAAGTTTTTCCTATATTTATCTTGCCTGATATGATGCAGCATCTGTTCAACGCATGCTTCATGGCTCTTACTAATTCGCTCGCCCAAAAATTTCATGTGATTTTGGTTTTTATGGTTTCGCAGCCGTACAAAACGGTTTTACATAAACCTTAATCTTTGTAGGTTTACAACCTACCAGGACGCGCGCCGAGTTGGACTCGTCGACGGTCCAATATATGGAACAGATATTTTACGAGTATCACCCGTTAAAGGTGCCATATTTGATGGTGCGCGGCTTTTGGAGCAAAAGTAGGTGTAAAAGTTGCGTAATTTGGCGTAATTTGACGAAATTCGTTGATTTTTGTTGCGTTGTGATAATTTGTCATATCTTCGGTTCCTTGAATGGGATTATTCTAAAAATTTGTGAAGACCTTCCAATACACAGGAGGACTATAATATATATATATATATATGCAAAGAACTGCTGCTAACTGCAGCAGTTAGCAGCAGTGAGCAGCAGTGAGCAGCAGTGAGCAGTGAGCAGCAGTGAGCAGCAGTGAGCAGCAGTGAGCAGCAGTGAGCAGCAGTGAGCAGCAGTGAGCAGCAGTGAGCAGTGAGCAGCAGTTAGCAGCAGTTTCTTTGCACTATAATCCTCCTCCTGTGAATAGGGCTTTTACAACTGTCCGAAAAATTTGGTGGATATCGGAGTTGATATAGTAATGAAAATGGGGCAAAATACGCTGCTTTTAGCTGTAACATAATGTTTGATGCTTGGATATGCTTTAAATTTTTCGGACAGTTTACTTGTACATTGTAAGTTTATGGGTAAGCTAACCTATTTTTGTTAAAATTGGATCAATTTGAATTAGGGAATGTAACTCAATACGTATTTGTTTCAAGAATTTTGTGCTGACCGAAATTAGCGCTAAAACCAGGATTATGATTAATCACTCTACACTCGACTTTCACGTGACTTTTTCAACTCGTTCTCTAGCTGGTCCTAGCTGAACGACTATTCGAAAGCCTAACCCTCTAATCTGATCCCAACCCTAACTTTAACCCAATCCTTAACAAAAGCATATGCTGAAACCCTAACCCTAACGAGAAATTAGACTAACTTCCTTAATTTCATAGGGAGTGATTCGGAATCAGCGTCCGAAAATACATCGAAGTTGGTTTCAATTGTAGGGGGACCTTTTAGAACAATCTCGAAGATCCACTGTAGAGTGATATAGCACGCTCGCTAAAACCATCCTACAGTCCACAGTCGGCACGCGCGGCTCACTGTTTAATTGACTATGTCAATTCATCGCAGCTTGGCGAGGCCCAGTAGTGTATGTACTAAGAGCGTCATTAACTTGCGGGTGAACATTTTATGTCTCAAAACCCAATATATTATACATCATTGGAAAGGTCTCATTGAGTAAAGTCGTTTGGTACCAAGTTCTGGGCAAATGGCTGTGCCTAGCGAAAGTTATAGCCCGTCAAAGTCCCAAAATTATCACTTCAGAAAATTTGGCGGGGCATCGTGTTTTTAAATTTGTTGACGAATTTTTTTACAGCATATTGTTTATCACAGTTTTTACAAAAGATTTGCCCTATGCCGTAATTTTTAATTCATTAATTAGAGTCACAATCAATTTATTTTGTCATCAGAGTTTAAACTACTAAAAGCGACAGTTGATATTCCTTGACCATTGTTAATGATCTGGCCCGGCGCGCGCTACTTCGTAGCACTTACCTGAGGACCCCAGGCTTTAATGTTGTTAAACAACATAGCCGAATAGAGATTAGGCGGAATGACCGGCTGAGCGCGGCCCAGTAACGTAGCACTTGCCGTCGGGCATTTCGAGAAGAAAGCGGTGCGCGCTACTTCGAAGAAATTTTTAACGGGTGATACTCGTAAAATATCTGTTCCATGTATTGGACCGTCGACGAGTCCAACTCGGCGCGCGTCCTGGTAGGTTGTAAACCTACAAAGAAATTTAGACGAGTAACATCCGTTAAGATATTCCGCGTGGTTCGCGGCGCGCTAATTTGTCTACATATTATTTAATTGCGCGTTACAATTCCGAGAAGCAGAATTAAGACGTTTCCCTGAATTTTGTAGGGGATTTCAAATCCCCTACAAATAGGTAACCACCACATCATGTTCCAAATACCCCGGAACATAAATCCCCTGGGGTAAAGATTCTCAGTCTTGATTTGACCGAGATTTCAGTAATTTTGGGGTGGGCGTCGCCCCTGGGAGTGGCCTGAGTGGGTCAAGATGTCGAAACTTGATTTTTCTGATGGTTTGGGACAGGTACTAACTATTTTTGTAACTTTATACAAATATTTGTCCGTAATCTTGTCCGTAATCTTGTCTCGCTTGAATGACTTAAATGTACATCTTTGTTGGGTATATTTTAATGTCGAAGCGTGTAATAGATGTTAGGATTTATTTACTTATATATAACATCAAGAATGAAGAAGAAATGAGCAGAACTGGACAGATATGAGATCACCTTTGGTCTCGTCTGAACGGAACAACGGAAGTCGTTGCAACGTCCTTCTACAGACAACGTCAGTAGTAATGTATGTGCTGATTTGGCTGCAAAAAATATCTATTCTGCACAGTTGTCACGTGGTGTAAAAGATAGCCTCTGATTGGTCATTAAGGCAGTGTCACGTGATTTATATTGCTGCAAAATATCTATTCTGCACAGTTGTCACGTGGTGTAAAAGAGAGCCTCTGATTGGTCATTAAGGCAGTGTCACGTGATTTATATTGCTGCAAAAAATATCTATTCTACACAGTTGTCACGTGGTGTAAAAGAGAGCCTCTGATTGGTCATTAAGGCAGTGTCACGTGATTTATATTCGTTTTTGTGAATCTGGTTGACTAGTTGGCGGTGTCACGTGATCACAGGTAGTCGACCACAGGTGATCGAACTACAGATTACCATTTATGGTATAACAAGGGGACATTGCCTTCTAATATGGAGTAGGGTTTCTATCGAGTCACGTGATCAAGGTTAAGACCAATCAGCGTAAAATATCAAAGGATGTAAACATCAGTTTTATACAAAGACAAAAATAGAATGAAACTACAGCTTCCAATTACAAATTTACATATACTGTACACAAAACCGATGTGAGACACATCAAATGTCTAAAAAAGTGGTACTGATGCCGTCATCAAGTATCTTCCTTTTACAGTAAAAGTAGCTCAAGCCCTTTCTTTCCATTCGATAGCTCAACATGGTGTTGTTCTTGACTATGAAGCCTCTGTTTGTTGAGCTGACACTTTGCTTCGTTTGCAGAACTGAACGGAAATGCTCTATAGTGACCTGAGCTGCCTTGTTGATGCCTTTTGTTGAACACTTCTCTTTCTGTTTGGCATCAGGTTCGAAACAGAAATAGGTTTTAGCCGAAAGTCCAACAAAGCCACCTCCGCTCCACTCTACTTTGAATAACCCTGAAAGTAAACGACAATTATACTACCGACGCGACACCAACCGCAGAGAATACCGAGATACATTTTGTATACAATAATGAATAACCCTCGCGAAACTTTCAAGATAAAATCAAAGTGACATTAAACTTGTCAAAATAATAATAAAGTTAAACAACACAGCAGACCACTCACCTGGCGTCCTCCTATCGTAAGCCGCGTGTTCTTCGGTATCTGTACGAGGAAACCACTGCAACTTTATCTGAGTCCAATCTTGCCTGAGCTCAGGTTTTATGAGCTCATCCAGCGTGTCAGCTGCAAGTGCCATGTACAGCGAGTCTGAAAATTCGAAAACGATCAGTACGAAGAATTTATTGTATTTACAGCAAAATGGAACGTGCGTGCGCGCGCATTACACGACTTTAGCGCGAAGAACACTACAAAAAATAATTTTGCGTCAGCGCACAAAATGAACAGAAGACCGTATTTCAGGTTTTAGCCAATGTCACAGTTTTGATCGTTTTGTACGGAATGTATCGATTAGATTATAGATTATTTGAACTTACCCGTATCCATCTCACAAAGAGAGAAGTACGGTCGAGGGATGTAACTCACGAGCACATCAAAGTAAAAAGAGAGCATTCTTAACTTTGCATAGGAGTAAACGAAAAAACCAATCTGGATAGGAAGATTGTGACGTATACTCTTCTTTCTCGATGTTACCTATAGAAGACACTATTAGGACTACATTCATATGAAATCGATGAAATCAACCATGAGGATTCAAACTGCAGATCACAGTAAATGTAGGCAACAATAATTACGGTAAGACAAATTAAAATTACCTCGTAGCAGTTATCTGAAAGCTCATCCAAGGCGGAGAAGCGGGGGCCGTTAATGAGATCTGCGGCAGTCTCCTGATCCACTACGTCCACCTTGACGTGCTTGCTCTTGTTCATTATCGTATATCCATAGAAGCTGTTCCCTGAGATAAACGATATTTGAACACTTGGAATCTAAAAGCAGGTGCTCGAATGTAAACGTGATCATAAGTTTGATCAGGCAGTAAAGGAATATTGAGATCGCGTCAAGAGACATAAGCTAATGAAAATGTAGCTATTTATCTACCTATTAGTTTACTGGTCTCAGCTACAACTCTCAAGGCCGGATCTTGATCACCAGCCCTCCTGTCTTCCGATACGTTGTCAGCAAAGGATTTGAAGCACCTGCTGGGTGCGAATTCTATGACTTGATGGATATCCGTCACCTCAAGCCCATGCTGAACGTACCAAATCAATAACGGCGTGATTATCAGAATCTTCTCGGCAAACATTGACCCGATTAAATATCGAGTCGGCTTGAAAGATTTCCCCGTTGAACGGAGGAATTCAGTCATATGTTCACCGATATCATCTGCCGTCACGGTGGTATTTTTAAAGATAGGAGGCATTTCTGCATAGTGAGCCTTGAGGTGATCAGGAACCCTCAAGTCACATTGAACCGCACCAAATAGGTGTCCGTTCAAGATTTCTTCGAGTATCCTGTCTTTAGTCATTCTAAACAGGTGTTCAGTGGTATAGACGTAGCGGTTGTGAATTTCATGCCCAGTCTTGTATTGAGTCCACGAGCATTCCCACATTTCCACCAGGGTATAACCCAGCTTCCTGATGTAATCACTAATCTCTTTCGTCTTTTTGAATTTTTCATTCAAAGTTCTGCCGCTGACTTTGACGTCGCGATTCTCTTTCTTGCAGGAAGGGCAGCCATGGAAATAGCACCCTTGAAACTGGTAAACTGTGTTCGTCTCCCTAGAATCAAAACAAATTAAGATACGTTGTTTTTTCCGCGTTATCACCAAAACTATTTTGAATATAACCTTAATTCATATGTAGTTCACTAATGGGAATAGGAAACATAAAACATACCTGTGGTAACCATCGACAGCGAGTCTCCTGGCGCCGATTCTGTACTCCCCTGTGTTTCTGACATGTTGTATTGAGATGTTTTCCCGATGCTCAACATCAGCCAACCATTCCGTTGCCACCATAGAGATCGGGCTAGGATATTCCTTGCGGAAGTTGTCAGCCGCCCTTCTTCGAATGTATAGCCCGGAGGCCATCTCTTGAGCTGTACACCATAAATAAAGGGCGTTGGCATCTGTAATTGAGTAATTGGTAAGAAATGTGATGTGAAGGAGACGTTACATAACTTTTACGGAAGCAAGAACGATATTGACTGCTTACTGAAATAAGCAGCAAATCGAATGGAAATTGTTGTCGATATACAACAGAGTTACAAAAACACTATTGGTCATTCAGTTGATTTGTTGAATGTGATAAATATTTAATTTACCAAGCCCCAGGATTTTCCTTGTGACAGGATTATGTGCATCGTGTCCAACTGTGGTCACACCAGCCTCTTGAAAACGGTCAAAGATTAAAGCTGGTCCACCAACCTGTAAAATAGATTACAGACCTTTAAAATAGAAAACAGACCCTTTCGGAAACTTGGGTAATTGTGTATCAACTTATGTGAATGTTATTACAACTTTACAAGTTACTCAAGAATCTGATATATTTTATGACATTTGATACATCTAATCTTATGCCTACATTTTGAGACAGAAACAGCTTCACCAGGTCACTGTGCCGTTTCGAGAATAAGTGAAAGCTTTCTTTCACATCTTTGAACGCTAAACGCAGGGAGACACCGGGTACTGAAGATACAACTTTTCAATACCAAAGCTAGAGAAACTTCAAAAATGAATATTCAATTGAAACTAAAATTTATCAACTGGTTTCAATACTGTATACTGGCATCTGAACTTGAATTATTAACCTGAGATTGCCTGCTTGAAAATGTCTACCCCACGCTCTTCGTAGTACTGAGTCTGATTCTCTATCGCTTGTAAAAATGGCTCTACGTCCCTGAAAGTAAAAAAGTATGATTAAATTAACAATTTTACTGACAAATCGACGCAATTCAATTTCAATCACTCATGGTTTACAATGAAATTTTAAACATCAAATACACAACACGTGATCAACTACTGTACCTGTTGTTGTAATAAGCCAGAAAATCTGCGAACGTCCACCCCTCCTCTTGAAACAAGAGTCTCAGTTTTTCGTACCGGTAGATTCCAACTCCCACCACCTGATCTGGGGACAGCAGGGTGCTGTCTTCCGATCGTGGGTACTGGTTAGCTACCTGTTGTTCTTCCTCTATCAGTACCTCACCAGGAGTAGGTTCCAATGTGTTCCTTCCTTTTAAGGACGAGAAGAAGGACTCGTACGAAGGGAATGTGGTGGAAGACAGCTTTTCCAAGCTGTCAAAATATTCATACGGGAAGTAGGATTTGTGAACGCTAGCGCCGTAGGCCTTTAGGAATTGATCATAGGACGTCCCAGCTGCCAAATAATTTGAGACGTCGAGGAACAGAAAGTTTTCGGTTGATATCGCTGAATAGGCTGAGCCCTTCTTAATGACGTACTTGATGTCTTCAGCCTCGAGAAGAACCGAAAACAGTTGTGTCTTGATTGTAGGAATATCGTATCGTTGCCCACAAAATGAGAGCAAGGGTAACTGTTGCAAGTATTCTTCGAAACGATCCACCAATTTTTCGTCATCAGTTTGGTCCACGGACGTCAAATAATCTGAAAATCGCTCTTTCATTAACTGATGAGACTCGCCTGATATCTCAGTGACCAGAGCGATAAAGCGTTTTACCAGCTCCCTTTCACAGCCATTAGTTATCAGACACTGGGGTTGCAAGTACCCTGGGACATTTGAACACACTGAGATACTCGCCAGGAGATGTTTAGCGCTAAACTCTACTCTTGTTGAATTTTCGACACCAGTGTCTCGAACAAGTGCACATTCAATATCGAAACACATTCGATATGGAAAATATCGCAATTCAGCGGGGATCTCAATGTCAAAATCTTCAAGCTGATCAAAGATGGTTCGATTGGGTTCAAATGAACCCCCTGTGTAGATGTCACGTGTGGCTGCATCACAGGTAGCTGTGTGTCTACGCTGACGATATGAAGAGGGAAATAGTTTACTGCAATGGGTACATCGAAAACTGCGTGAGAACTTGCAAAGGTCCTTGATGAAACTAAAGTGTTTTTTGTACAGGTTGAGGTACATGATGTTATCCTCTCTCAGGGATCTGAAAACATGCTCTGTGACACCAGACTCATTCTGAGCGTATACAAATACCCCCATTTCAAAAATTCGAGAAGCATCTTCCAAGTCATTGAGTGATACACCCTCAAACTCTGACACTACAAGACGCATGTCTCTTATGTACTGCTCAAACAGCTCCTTTGTTTTCTTTTCTAATGCCGTCACCTTGGCTCCCTGGAACAGAGCCAAACACCTAAAGAAACATAGGTTATCAGTGTAAGGTTTTCCTCTTTTGTTAGATACCAAGCTAATCAAACCTTGAGTATTTTTCAGATAGGGTGGAAACTCTGTGGCGGATCCAATAGGACAGCGTAACACTTTAGATAGGAAAAATGTCACATTAGTAATGCGGATAAATGAGAACTTTGAGCAGGGATATGTAACATGGTTAACCAGATCTAATTCATCAATTTTGTGGGTCAGTGTACTCAAGTCATTAAGATTACCCACAAAATGCGGATCACTGAACAGGAGCTGGTTGTTCTGTGAAGAATAATAAAAATGCAAGGACTGATCCTCGTTGTTTTTCAAGATGAATGCAAGTGAAATTTTCAATTTAAATGCTGTTTTTTGGTCTCTGAAAACAGAGAGCAAATGCTCCTTGATATCCTCGACCGACAAACGATGCAACTGAAAATTATATACCGCACTCAGAGCCTTCATCGACCTAGACGGTTTTATGTATTTCTCATGACGCACATACAGCTCCCGATAATCCTCCTCGATCACAAAATCTGGCACTACAAATGAGTCTTCAGCCGTCGATCCCCAAGCAGCACCGATGTGGCGAGATTCCCTCGCATGAGTTGTTCCGTGTTCGATATGATTTAGGAAAGGGTATGACATATGACAGATGTTACAGTTGACTATTTGGCAGCTTTGGGACGCTTGATGAGCCTCCAAGGCCGACGAGCAAGTAATGGTTATAGCCGCCCCACATTTAGGGCAAGTTTCACGATGTCTCTTACTGAACCGGGAGCTGGACCTGTCCTGGAAAATAGATAGAAACTTCAACACTGTGTAGGCTTCATCAAAAAGATTTTTAGTCGCCTATACCTCAAGCAACACTGCGAATTTATATATACGTCTTTAGATGTCACACAAAATCAACCCACACAAAAATAAAGAAAAATATGTCTAAAGTAGAATCTCACTTACAGATGGGTTCATGATTACTTGATTGTAATGTAGAAGATTGACGAGGAGTTAAACGGGAATAGTGTCCAACAGATGAGAGTCAGCAGTTTAACAAAAAGCTATAGCACAATGCAGAGCTCCGAACGATCTTGAATTTATAAAGCTATGTCGCACTATTGTCTATTATATACACAGCACATCTGCTGCACACAATAAACTCGCTATATTTTATTTAACAAGTCTAAATGTTTAGATCTGTAAAGTGAGGGAGTGGTCTGCTCCACTTTTCAAAGGCTCTGACGTCATTTTATTTAAATGAATGTTTAGATCTGGAAAGTGAGGCCACTCCCTCAGGGAGGGGCCTGCTAAACTGTCTCATCCGATTATTGGTCAAGATTGAGGAACGTTAGAAAGACACCTGGCGTCAGCAAACCGAGTACACTCAGCTATTAAAAATATAGTGTGCTCTAAACTTCAAAATATCAACTACAAGTTACATTACCACGAGAATACACGTAGCAGCGGTAAAAAGCTATGTGATATTATATTCATAGTGTAAACTTACTTTGCCAGTTATTAGTGGACCTGCAGCTAGTGCTGTACATTGTAGACACTAGACGAGCAATAATCACACTGTTCAACTCTAGGTCGCTCAGTTTACAGATCTTACAAGGTGAACAGTACAAAAAGCATCTTGATAAGGGTTACATGGATCGGTGTCCACCAGTAATTTAATTTATGTGACTCGGATTAGTTTTAGCTGACGGTATGAGTACAACATATCTCAGAATTTTCTGTTTTTATGATAATTTTGGTGTAGATTGTTTTGAACTCATTTGTTTTTTGTTTTGCAATAAAAGACTCGTATAGATTTTCAAATAATTCAACTATTCTACATACTAATTGACACTGAAAGAAATGCTTTTCAAGATTCAACGTCACCGAATTTCGTCTAAATAATTTGAAACAAGCTTATCATTTTCCGCTAAATGTACACTAAATACAGACAGACAGGATTTAAAACTACGCTTGCTCAGCTCTCTAATGAAATAAACACAATAAGCACCGCAAGCGTTTGAAGTTAAACGCTGCAACCACTTTCTGTTACGTGAGATAGTCTCATCCCCGATGTAACTTTTTATTGCTATGGTAAAATTAGCTTCAAAAGTAGCGTCGTTGTAATTTCGTCCATAACTGTCGATAAAGTAAATCCTCCCGTGTTTGCGCTGTAACACCAGCCAGTGGTCACCAGGTGACGACGAATTACCAGTATTAACCACCAAACTAAAATCTTCATCAAGTTTTGGTGGTAAAATGTCGTACGCAAAAGCGCCCCGAAAATGACTGACGTCAGCTAATGTTTTGTCAATCTCTAGCGTATCCATATGGTAAGTACATCAATGACAGATTCATTGCTTATATACCATAAATGGAGGCTTATATCACGATTACCTGACGATCGTTTGTCACCTCTATAATTTCATCATACCAGGCTAAAACCATCAAAACCCTCCCTGCTGGAGCGGCTTCTGGGAACTCTAGCTGGAGTCGCACAGTTCCGCTTCTTTGTAAATTCAGGGCTTTCTGATTCCCGCCACTAGCGTCTTGACTCAAATCAATGAATTGGGCTGGATACGCTCCATAATAATGCTGTAGAAGATTATCACCGCTATTAATATATCCGGATTGATTGAGAAAAGCGTCCCACATGTATGTGTAGTCGTCGTTTCCTATACGTTCAACGTTACGTGGAAAATGTTCACGCCCATTAACGTATACCTGCAGTGACTTTAGGGGATGTAATGAGAATGCGTTTTTGGAGCGAGTTTTCCCAAAACTCGCACGATCCTGGACACCAATTAAAAAAGAGTGTGGTAGTGTTGAGCCAAATATCGATGATACAGTCAGATCCGCTGCTCCTTCTGGAATAGAATGAAAACTCAAAACGCTCTTGTCGGTATGATAAATGGCATTTTCTTTTTTCAGCCTCTGTTCAATTATGTTTAAGACAGCGTCCTGTGGTCTCTGAAACGTGCAGCGTAACATTATTTTATCGAACTTCACTTTGTCTGTATGATTGTCGGGAGATAGGAGAATGAACTCTGAATAATTTTTGGTTAGTGTCACTTGCATCTCCAATTCTGACGGAAGTAGCTTGTCCTGTTTGAATATGCTAGCATCGAGGTCAGAAACTAGGCAGACCTTTTTACCTAGAGCTATGTTTTTAGCTCTATCTTGTCCACCACCATTCACAACAGCTGTATCTGCATCAGGGAAGAAAGCAACGTCTTCAGAATGAGCCTTAGTTTTAACAGTATCGATCCAGTATCCTTCTTTGGAGTGTAAATGAGGGTGACAACCCGATCGTGTGTTCAAAGTGGTTTCCCAGAACTTCGAAATAGCATAAGCATTATCGAATGATTGAACTAAGGAGGCGGATCCAGCAGTAATTTCAACATTCCTGTATAATGCAGCTGCCAAGTGCGGGAGAGTACTGACCGGATGATTTGCTGCAGGATTTGCGTCGGCCGCCGTCAAGACACGAATTTCACTCACAATTTGAACATTTTGCAGCATCATTTTTGACATTGCCGGAATTATAAACGTCAAAGTGTCAGAAGCTTCAATAGATGTTGTCGGAAAAATATCGATAGTCTTTGTTTCAACAATTCCAGTTTGTGTGTGAATTGTTTCCCAAAGGTGTAAATTTGAAGGCAGAGCCTCCACAGATTTAACATATTTGGTCATCGTGCTGTTAGTGTTGAGTCAAGAATGAGAGCCAGCTTACAACTGGCTTTATATAGCCTAGGAGAGCGTCCCGTATTTCGGTTTTTTGGCGTTTTTGTTGATCTTATCTGTGGAGATGGCATTTCCCAATTTCCTGACTCCGTAATTTGCTCCTTTTTCGATACCCTTAACTGCTAATTTTTGAAGCTCTGGTTTGGCTAATTCGATGCCACTTCTTAAAAGTGACTTACCTATTGGCACGACTTGTTTAAACATCTTTTTCAGAAAACCGCCGATTCCGAACCCGGTCTGATTATTAAAATGATAGACTCCCAAGTCGTTATTCAAAGCGTTTTTGAAAGCTTGCTCCGATGAGCGGTTTGGTGTATAAGTTTGACGCATTCTGTCAGGACAGTTCAATAATTAATTGCAAATGAAATGTTCACCTACTTATATAGCTACGAATCAACAATTAGAATTGAGGTTTTCTAATGTGTAAGTTTAAGATAGTGGGATAGTCCACATTCGTAATTGAATCACAAACAGATCCGCATCCCGATGAATGGTCAAATTTGACGTCCTCACCATTTTGGTCTGTGATAATGAAACTCAGGTCTGTGAAAGAACTTACGGAAAGTGGCTTGTAGCTTGGATTCTGAAATTCGTGGAAGCTGTACCCCTTTTTGGATCGTAACGGAATACAGGTCATCAATCTCGCAAATGTATTATTGATTATGGAATCTTTCACCACGCTCGAATAAAGGAGACCACATACGACTGTGGTTTTCAGTGGGTAATCGTCAACTTCAATCTTATTCTTGTCAGCTGTATCTTTATAACACCCAAAGATTTCAAAGAGAGGAGATTTTTCATCAAATGAGAAATTTTCTGTTCTCTGGGACAACTTCAAAATATTCCGACCATTCAAATCGATCTCAAAAGTTGGAGGATCCTTTAAATTTGATCTTTTTCCATCATAATCGCCATCAAAAGTTCGATTCATTACTTTGTAGGCGGCCCTTAAAATTTCGCATGATCTATCATAAAAGCCATTTGGAATTTCGAAAAGTGAGATTTTTCCACCTTTGATGACTGCAAAACTGTTATTTTTTTCGGTTACATTGAATATTGGCGCATGGTATATGCTTTTGACGGCAATTTCATATCCATCTGTGAGATTGATTACGCTATTGAAGCTTGAAGAAAATCTACTCGGGGAGTCTCCGCTTGTCACGGTGATGTACTGCTCCATTTTTTCGAATAATAGGTTTTGAGGTTTGATTTGGTTTATTTATAGAGCCCGTAGTCTGTATTTTAGAGTCTACTCTCTTAATTTTAGATCCTAATCTCTTTACATTAGAAGCAGTGCGTTTTTTAGACTTTGATTTTTTCACATTAATCTTATCTTTCTGAACAAGTCGGTCTGGGACGTCAATGCTTTTCCTGATAGACGGTTGATCTGCTGAAACCAATAGAAATCTCATAATATTGCCGGGATAAGAGGCAGCACCGTCTTCAATATAGTTTGAAATATTGAGCCGCCTTTTTGTACCTTGGTATTTATAGATTTGTTGGTACCCTTAGCCAGTGACTTGATGAATTTTCGGTGAGGTTTTAGTTTCTTTACGTGCTTTTTCTCAAGTCGTAAAGTGCCATTTAAAATGTATCGACATAAAGCCTTGATTGCTTTATGCATATCCGGGGTGTTTTTTAGAATAATGACGGCATTGTTTCTTTTAGCTTTTGACAGCATCTTTAATGCTCCATGGTGTGATTTAATACTCATGTGAATACGCTTGGGCATTGTTCAAAGTAATCAGTCGTAACTAACAGCTCCTCTGGTACAAGTGGGTGAAACGAAAGTAATACGAAATCAAACGGTTTCACATATTTATAGGCTGAGAGTAGCAACTCTTGTCTCGTTCCCAAAATTTGTCTACCTAATCTGGCAACTTGTGAAAAATTTCTCTTATTTTTGAAAAGAAGCAGATACTGACTATTATTAGATATCAACCTATAGAGTTCATTATTCAGGAACAAACTGTGAGATATAAAGATTGTAGTTGTGTTCTTGTGTGACGATCCTGCTATGAAGTGTTGTGCAAGTGCTCTATTCAGTTCGAGAATGAGGTCATCACAAATAAGGAGTTTTGGCCCCTTATATTTATCAATTACACTAAGATCGAGACCTTTCACAAATGTTATTGGTGGGTTTGATTTATCTTTTTGCCAGTTTTCGAACTCTTCTTGATAAGCACCATACAAGTAAAATATCTTACTAGGCATCGGGTCAATCAGCTTCTCGCGAACAATCCTCAATACAGCAGTAGTCTTGCCTGATCCACTTGAACCAATCACCAAGATATTTGAATTTGCAATAAATTTAATCGACATTCTGGAGCTCCTCACTGTAGAAAGATCCTAGTACAGGTTCTTTATCTTTATCTTCAAGTAAGAATGTTTTCGGTTGCGTATCAAGTAATGCTTTTATACGAAATATTTCGTTCGTCCAACGC